ATGAGATAATCGTTCTGGGTGACTTCAATCTACCCGGCATTTCCTGGAAACCATCTCACAGTGGCTTTCTCTACCCAGACCCTGTACACTCTGTATTTCATACAGGATCAGTTAGCCTCAACGAAAACAACCGTAGCCTGGACCTCTGCTTCGATAGCGTTCAGGACACCGCTCCTTTCATCTCCACGGCACCTTCTCCACTAGTAAAGCAAGTACATCATCACCCTCCCTTGGTTGTTACTGTTGCTGACAATCACGATCGGGTCTTTGACGACATTTCCACGACCGTGTCATACGATTTCCGGAAAGCCGATCACCGTAGTATCGTCAACGTGCTATCTAGTATAGATTGGGAGAGCATCCTCGATTCCGATAATGTTGAAACCGCTGCGCAAACATTTTCACATGTCTTGGCTTATGCCATTGACAGGCACGTTCCGAAAAGAGTTCACCGTAAAATTTATCATCCTCCCTGGCAGACGAGTGAACTGCGTAGGTTGAAGTCGACCAAGAGAGCCGCATTAAGAAAATTCACTAAGTATCGTACGCTTTCGCTGAAACGTCACTACGTTAGGCTCAATTATGAGTTCAAGCGAGTTAGCCTTAGATGCTTTTCGCGATATCAACGAGGGATTCAGAGGAAACTCAAGTCGCACCCGAAGTCATTCTGGAATTACGTAAATGAGCAGCGCAAGGAATCCGGCCTACCTTCTTCAATGGTGTTGAATGGAGCAATTGCTTCCACTCCTCAGCAGATCTGTCGCTTGTTTTCTGAGAAGTTCGCCAGTGTTTTCACGAATGACGAACACGTTACCCTAGCAGCTAGTAATGTTCCACTGTACGGTCAAACACTGGGTGCGATGGATGTCAACGTCGAGATGATTTCCACTGCCACATCACAACTCAAGTCGTCCTTCAATCCAGGACCCGATGGCGTTCCATCCGTATTCCTGAAAAAGCATATCGCCAGCTTGCTGATGCCAATGCTTCACCTATTTCGATTGTCCATCTCGAGTGGTACATTTGCATCTTGTTGGAAATTCGCACATAGGGTTACGGTATGTAATGTGGGTCTAGTCCTTTCATTCGGCCTATCACGCAAATAAATAATTAATTAAGGAATATTACACAAAAAATAAGGAAAATATTGATCACTGATGGTTGATAAATGTGTACCACACACAAATCAATTTATATCACAACATTTCAATACATTTTCAGCTCTCGTAAGTAATAAAACTGGTTGAGAATATCACAATGTTCGGAGTTTTTAGCCGCCATGACTTATAAGGTTAAGATGGGAAGGTTGACTGACGATCATCAAATGGCCTGATTATGGCATTTATTGATTGGAATTACCTGATAATACACACTAGACGTAAAACTTACAGTTGCTGTTTGAATATTTTATGTTTATTTTAATTGTTTAACAACGTTTTCACAAGTAAAACATGGACCCAACTTTAGGGACACATTTCTTTTCTATGTTCCTAACTATGGCCCATGAAATTCATTTGACAGCATATAGCAATAAGAGTAACGTCAACAATGTTGTTTTGCATTTGGATGATAAGGAACGAACAGGAAGGGAGATTTTTTCTGCCAAACCTGTATAATGAACATCACAATGTTCTGATTTAGATATTCTGCGGTCAAAAGACGATAAGCGAAATTTTTAATTTTTAATTTTTAAATTGAGTGATTTAATGTAGTTTTCGTAAAATTTTCTCTAAGAAATGTTTTGAGGAATGAAGAGCATTAAGTTAACAGTGATAGTGATAAAAAAAAATACATCAGAAAACGTTACCAAGAGCGTTTTTTTGAGGATCAAACAAGATAGGACGAAGTTGCATCCATAAATAGACCCAATTTGGGGACAATAGACCCATATTACATACATTTCCCTCGTGAGTTATTGTCTTAAAAAAAGTAAGTTTTTCAACTTTTCGTGGTTTCTGATAGCAAACGACATGATAAGCATATCTAAGCATACCATTTAGCAGTAGAATATCGTTTGCAGGTAAATTCATTGATGAGTTATGATTAAAAACGTAATCGATGGCTGCATATTAGACCGAGGTTAGGGACGTATACCCTATGTTTCCTATCCACAAAAAGGGCAGCAAACGGGATGTGGACAATTATCGTGGAATTACGTCGTTGAGTGCAGTTTCGAAGTTATTCGAGTTAGTCATCATGGAGCCTCTACTCTCTCATTGTAAGCAGTATCTAAGTGGTGATCAACACGGCTTCACTTCCGGTCGTTCTACTTCTACAAATCTGCTGTGTTTGACATCGTATCTTACGGAAAGCATGGCAGAGAGGACTCAAACAGACGTCATATACACCGACTTGTCAGCTGCCTTCGATAAGCTAAACCATGCCATCGCGATTGCCAAGTTGCATAGACTTGGGGTCAGCGGCAACCTCTTGCGATGGTTTCGTTCATATCTCAGTGATCTGACAACCGGTCCAATATCTATCTAGCTACGTCAGGAATACCTCAAGGAAGTCACCTGGGACCTTTGATTTTCTTACTCTACTTCAATGACGTGAACTTGGTCATCGAAGGCCCACGACTATCGTATGCAGACGATCTTAATATCTACCTACGAATCCGCTCGATTGATGACTGTCACTTCCTTCAACGTCAGTTCGAAGCCTTTGCCAGCTGGTGTAATTTGAACCGAATGGTGGTTATACCCACTAAGTGTTCAGTGATCACTTTTACTCGGAAGAAAGAACCAATCACATTTGAATACAAACTTATCGGCACTGTAATCGACCGTGTGAACCATGTGAAAGATCTGGGTGTTATTCTGGATTCTCAACTTACGTACAAGCAGCAGATTACGTACGTTGTCGACAAGGCGTCTAGGACATTGGGAATTATCTTCAGGATAGCAAAGAATTTCTCCGATATCTACTGTTTGAAGTCACTGTACTACTGTTCCTTGGTGCGATCCATTCTGGAATATTGTTCTGTGGTCTGGAGTCCAAATTACAACAATGGTGCTGAGAGAGTTGAGTCCGTTCAACGCCGTTTTCTTCGAATCGCTCTGCGGAAGCTGCCTTGGAGAGACCCATTTCATCTGCCGAGCTATGAAAGTCGTTGCCAGCTGATTGATCTGGAGCCTTTCCGAACTAGAAGAGACACCTCTAGGGCCCTGTTCATTGCGGACACTTTACAAGGTAGAATTAATTGCAGTGCAATCTTGGGGCAAATCAACATTAACGTCCAACCCCGTGCGCTACGTAACAACGTTATGCTGAGATTGCCACTTCAGCGCACAAACTATGGCATGAACGGTGCAATAGGTGGGCTGCAACGAGTGTTCAATCGAGTTTCGGGCATCTTCGATTTCCATATGCCTCGACAGCTGCTAAGAAGATACTTCTCATCGTTCTTTTCTGGCACAGTTAACCGTGAATGATTGTGCGTTTTATTTATGTATTTTATTCTTAGTTTTTATTTTTTGATTAACCTATATAAGTTACTTAAATCATCATTGGGGCTATACACAGCCTGTTGATGCAGACAAATAAATAAATAAATAAATATAGTGACCAAGAATTCTCGGCTCTGTAAAGTTATTTCGTTTGAGCCTTATCAAATAAATTAATAAACAACAAAAAAAAATCTCATTTTGATAACACTCATGATCAGTACCAACCCAAAAATCCCAACGGACAGCTCTGGAAACGATAAAGCGATTACCATTTGTGTTACAGATCATGATCATATGAAATAGCGATAATCTCCGATCATCATTATCATTGAAAATTCCCCATATGAGACAAGAAAAATCAAATACTCCATAATATAGGTATTTTCAGAACGGGGATGACGAATAGAGATCGAAAATCGATGTCCGCTGCAATTTGTAAATCCAAGATGGCAGCCATCAATATCAGAAAACTATCAAATACCCTGAAATATGGGTATTTTCGGAACAGCATGCAGATGCAGATGTAGAAAACTGATGGCTGTCGCCATTTTGGAATCCAAGCTGGCAGCCATTGATTTAAGAAAACCTGTACCTTACAATATGAATATTTTTGGAACCGGGATGACATGTGTATGTCGAAAATAGATATCCGTTGCCTTTTTTTAAATCCAAGCTGACAGCCATTGATTTCCGAAATACTGTCAAATATCCTACAATATGGGAATTTTTGGAACCGGAATGACGTGTTGATGTCGAAAATGTCAAATATTTTAGATTCCGATTTTGTGGAAACCTAAATCATTGTAGCTCAAAATGTAATTACCAACATTGCCCAAATTACTCCTAATGATTCGACCCCCTCAACATCAAACAACACCCTCTCAAGTAGTACTCTTTCTAATAACCCAAGTACCGACAACCCCGAACATCGTTGTAATAAAAGAATATAATTAGTACATACACTACACCATCGTTCATCCGTCCGTTCGTCTTCCTAAGTGCCGTTACGCACTGCCCTGCGTTGACCTCTCTCGAGAATAATAATATAAAAAAAAAACACTAGCGCAAAAACCCGCATGGTGTTTTTGCGGGTGTCGAGTGAAATGACAAGGATTCTGCTGCCGGATCAACAGACAGCAAGCAAAAAAGGTCCCCGGGAGGGAAAAGCACCAGCAATAAACCGAAACGACATCAGATAAGCGAGAGGATATAAGTATTACTGAGTGCAACCTCCGGCGCGGTACCGGATGGAAAGGTCCCTTGACGACGTTGGAAAAAAAATAATTCAGCAACCCCTTAGAGACACTGTCCTCATTGGCAAGAAACTCAACTTGTTCCTGCACACACACAAACACACACACACGCAAACAGGACAGCATAAGGATTAATTTATTTTTGTGATGTATGAGGAATGTTGTTGTCACTTTCTGGAAGGATGTATGGGCGGGGGGCTACGAGGAAAGGTAATAAAGCAACTTCAACACATGTGCACACTCATTTGTTCTCGGAGGGGGGGGGGGGAATTAGTCACATTTTATAACGCCAACTTACTTGATGCCGCCAGATAACTTTGTACACCCACGGGTTGGACTTGATGTTGCACTCGAAGTAGACGTCGGCACCCTCCCGGATCGACGAGGTGTAGTTGTTACTGGTGCCATACTCCAGTGTCACCACGGGAACGTCTACGGGTGGGGAAAAAAGAGATAGAGAAATATGCATGAGCCAGGAGAGCGGAATGCCATGAACAATTTATTTATACAACTCTTTTTATGTGGGGACGAATTCTTACACTGCACGGGTTCACCGAACGAGTTGAGTTGGTTGACACTTTTGTAGATGAGCTTCATTTATGTATTTGCAAGTATTGTTTTGTATCGATGAGCACAAAGTTTTGATTTTTTGATGTGTATGGAAGCGTCGAAAACTAGTGCTGATGATGATAATTGTCTACCACTTTTTAGGACAGAAACTAACTCCGATAGCAGTGGGTTTTCCTCATTTTTTTTTTTATTTGATCAAGCTTAATAATTTTAGACAGAGCTGGAATTAGGGTGTAACAGTCCTTGTAAATAACGACTTCTATAGACGATTTTTAGGAACTCAAGGCACGCACACGCAAATCAACATAACCGTCAGCCCTAGCTTTCTAGAGATCATCGAAAGAAGTCATTGTTTACAAAAGCTGTTACGCTCTAATTCCAGCATATCTAGAATTGTTCCCTACATGTCACTGTATGAAGGGCTAAAAACGGGTTGGGTGGATCGATAGGCAAAGCTACCTACACGCCATCACGGGAAATTGAAGAATCACCAGCAGCATGATCATACAATTGGTCAAAAACAAACAGTGAGAAGGATGCTTAAATGTATGTGAAGAAGAACCCGCCCTTTATCCACGAAATGTTAACACCACGGAGTTGACAATTTCACTCTCCCCATCCAAATCGCTGCCCTGATGGTTCCTCTCAATCTCCAAAATAGGACTTATTCTTCATCTTCTTCATCGTGTTCTATATTCTTCTTCTTCTTCTTTTTCTCCGCATATAAGCTTATTACGTGCTCTCAACTCAGTGTTCTAGAACTTTCGATGCCTGTACCATGTTTGCATTAGTATAATTGTGTGGCAAGAACAGTCATATACTTTGCCCATGGAAGTCGTGACAATTTCCTACCCTAAAAATTCCTAGACCGGACCGGGAATTGAACCCAGCCACCTCCAGCGTGGTCTTGCTTTGTAGCTGCGTCTTTATTGACTGAGCTAAGGGAGGTTCCAACATATTGTATATAATGAATTCTGAAACAATCAGAGTAAAATAATGTGGACATGTCTCACTAAATTCTGCATCGATGGATCCTGTCTCATGGCATTAAAGTCGCCATCGTCTTTCTCCACTTGCTCAGATGCTTCTTTTACAGCAGTTGTCAATCTTCCATGCACACATCACTAAAGCTGGGTTTAGGACTAGGCAAGTCAAATGATCAACTCAGTTGAATTCAATTGGCTTGAAAAGTTGAGCCTGGTCCAACTTTTTTCAATTCAAGTGATTTGATCAAGTCAGTTGAATGGCATGATTTACACGTTCAAGTTAGTTGAATTCAACTGACTTGATCAACTAACTTGCCCTGTCTAAACCCAGTGTACAGGGTGATTCAGAATAACTGTCACCGATTTCACAAATATGCAATTCTCAATGGGTAAAATGGGTATATGTTCAAGTATTTTTGTTTTTAGTGTGTACAAATATCAGCTTGTATTGATAGTAGGATTTGAAATTTAATTCGTTTGTGATTTCAAGTAGCCATTGACGTCAAAATGGAGCATGGCATATATCTGTAAAAAAAAATCGTGTGTTATCTTTTAGAAACTGAAATCTTTTCGAAAGAATGTAACATTTATTTTTGCATCATTATAGAGGTACAAAGGAACCATGCCTAGAAAATCTGTTCAATATCAGAGCTTAAACGCATCACCAGGACTCAAAAAGTGCTGAAACTCAAGCGTGCGTGCCAGCTGTGGTTAATTTTCATGACAAATGTGGCTGATAATTAAGGAAAAGGGAGAGAGATTTGAAATAAACTATGCTTAGTTGAAGGTTATATATGTAGAATATCTGGAAAATAATGATATAAAAAAATTCACGCAAGCGTTCAATCGTTATGACCATTTTTAAAAGGTTAAATCAGTTAAAGATCCATTCTAAACACAGACACTAATTTTATATTGTACAGTTGCAGTCATCTATCCATCTATCTATCTATTTACAGGGGTTGAGAGAAATATAGGGTACTAGCAAAATTTTGTCCAACTTTGGACTGTTGTAACTTCGTTAAATATTGTTCGATTTTCAATCTTCAAGAAACATTCGACTAGAAAACTAATCAAATTTTATGACGGGGCAATGGAAGTGACCATGGTTACTGGATACCGGAGATATTCTGGGTTTCCTGAGGGCATGTCTAAATTGATTAATTTGTGATGAGTTTTTCTCAGGGTGTCCGTTACTAATCTGTATTTTTTGTTCATATGCCAAAAATAGAACCGTTTCCAAAGCAAATGACGCACCAAGAGCTAAAATCGGCTCAGAATCAACCAAGATATGGCCATTTCCCTGGAATCGGTCCTGAGGGAGGGTTCTGAGTGCGGTCAGTTCTTTCATTCACTTAAAACATGCCTCTTTCTTCATAGTTTTTTACCAATGGGCTTTCTATAGACTTTGAATGGATCATTGACTACATTGGCCACTTCCGGAACCACCGGAGTGCCCTTGGGGGAACCTGTAGTAGGGGACAAATTCATTTTTACAAAAATCATGCCATGTGACACCTCTTTCTTCATGGTTTTTCATCAGTAGGATTTCTTAAGACTTTAAATGGATTATTGACCACATTGACCACTTCCGGAACCACCGAAGTACCCCCGGGGAACCTGAAGTAGAGGAACATTGCATTATTACACCAAAACATGCCGTACAACACCTCTTTCTTCGTGGTTTTTCATCCGTAGGCTTTCTATGGACTTTAAATGGATCATTGACTACATTGACCACTTCCGGAACCACTGGAGTACCCCCGGGGGAACCTGTAGTAGGGGAAAATTGCATTTTTACACCTAAACATGCCGTGCGCCCGCTCTTTCTTCATGGTTTTGCATCAGTAGGCTTTCCATAGACTTTGAATTGATCATTGACCACATTGGCCACTTCCGGAAGCACCGGAGTACCCCCGAGGGAACCTGTAGTAGGGGACAATTCCATTATTACACAAAACATGCCGTACGACACCTCTTTCTTCGTGGTTTTGCATCAGTAGGCTTTCTATAGGCTTTAAATGGATCATTGATCACATTGACCACTATCGGAACAACAGGAATGCCCCCAGGAAACCATATGTAGGGGACAATTTCATTTTTACACCAAAACATGCCGTGTGACAGCTCGTTTTCCATGGTTTTGCATCAGTTGGCTTTCTATAAAGTTGAATTGGATCATTAATTACATTGGCCGCCTCGGAACCACCGAAATGCCCTCCGGAAAACCTGCAGTAGGTAACAATTGCATGTTTACGCCAAACTGTGGCATACGATAGCTCTTTCTCATGGTTTTTCATCAATAGGCTTTCTATAAACTTTAATTGGATCATTGATCACATTTCCAGCTCACTGAACCACCAAGAGGCCCCACGGAAACCTGTAGCAGGGGACAATTGCATTTTTACACCAAAGCATTCCGCATGGCAGCTCTTTCTTCACGGTTTTTCATCAAAAGACTTTTTAAAGACTTGAATTGGATCATTGACTAGATTGGCTGCTCTCCGCACAACCGGGATGTCTCTGGGGGAGGGAACAATTACATGTTTGAACCAAAATGTGCCGTGCAACAGCTCTTTCTTCATGATGTTTCATCAACAAGGTTTCTGTAGAAGTGGATTATTGACCATATTGGCCAGTTTCGAAACCATCGAGATGCCTCCGGAGAACCTATAGCTGCTCTTTTTTCATTACTTTTCGTCAACATGTAAATTGTGACGATATGAAAAGATATGAAAAGTTTTGTATACACCGATGAAAATTCAATAATAACATTGAGAAAGATTTTTTCGGAAGCAAGAATTGGCCTTGGACTCTTCTGGGAATTGAATCGTACGGTTTATGAATTGTTTCAATAGGTATTTAATACCAATCGTCAATCAAAAGTTTTTCCACCTTTTTTACAGACGTCGATGGTGCGAACACGCTCCTCACTCAAATAGGAAAGCAACGAAAACAACACATTTTACTCCAGGGGTGCATTTTAGTTCATTCTTACATAATATTCAAATTTTGCTTTTGTCTGTGTTCATGTGACTATACTCACACGCTGCGAGTATGTAGTAAGATCAGATTGAAAAAGAGGAAAAGACAAAGATGCTTATACATTCTTTGCGATTCATTATGAAAAATGTAAACAATGAACATTGCGACCAAGATAATCATAGCATAGCCTTGATGTTGACTTGCATCTGTATTAGTATTTCGAAAATCAGCTGATAACCTGTTTTCCAGTTGTTGTGATCCATTCAATGCTATAGAGAGCCTACGGATGAAAAACCATGAAGAAAGAGGTGTCGCATGGCATATTTTTGCATAAAAATGAAATTGTACCCTACTTCAGGTTCCCCGGGGGTACTTCGGTGGTTTCGGAAGTGGCCAATGTGGTCAATAATCCAATTAAAGTCTTTAGAAATCCTACTGATGAAAAACCATGAAGAAAGAGTTGTCACACGGCATGATTTTTGTAAAAATGCATTTGTCCCCTACTACAGGTTCCCCACAGGGCACTCCGGTGGTTCCGGAAGTGGCCAATGTGGTCAATGCTCCATTTAAAGTCTATAGAAAGCCTATTGGTAAAAAAAACCATGAAGAAAGAGGTGTCGCACGGCATGTTTTGAGTGAATGAAAGAACTGACCGCACTCAGAACCCTCCCTCAGGACCAATTCCAGGGAAATGGCCATATCTCGGTTGATTCTGAGTCGATTTTAGCTGTTGTTACGTCATTTGCTTTGGAAATGGTTCTATTTTTGGTATGAATAAAAAACACAGATTAGTAACGGACACTCTGAGAAAAACTCATCACAAATTTAGCAATTTAGACATGCCCTCAGGAAACCCAGAATATCTCCGGTATCCGGTAAACATGGTCACTT